CAGCTTTAATCATGTCCGGTGGAAACCAGGTTTAATTGAAAGACAAAGGCCTCTCCCACAGTATTTTTAGAGGCTTGATGAACAAAACTTCAAAGCCTGGCCAATCTTCATCTCACACCAACTCCTGCAGGAGCCATTTAATAAGCCTCCTTCAGCTGGGCCACAAACCAGCCGGGGGCAGCAAGCCAGACACAGCTGAAGGTCACTCCCACTGACAAACCTCATGGACTCGGGACTGGGCTTCCGAGTTAAATTGGCCATCAAACTATTTTGTGCTTAAAAAACATTGTTTCTAACATACTCAAAAAGTCCTATTTAAAAAACAAGCAAATTCATTTCAACAGTGTATTTTTTAAAGAACATGATTCCAAAATAATTCAATAATGGGGTTTTGGGGGCCGACACTGTGGCATAGCAGGTAAAGCCACCACCTGCAGTGCCGGCATCCCATATGGGTACCAGTTCAAGTCCCAGCTACTATATTTCTGATCTAGCTCTCTGCTGTGGCCTGGGAAAGCAGTAGAAGATGGCCCAGGTCCCTGAGCCCCTACACCCACGGGGGAGACCCAGAAGATGCTCCTGGCTCCTGGCTTCAGATTGGTCCAGCTCCAGTTGTTGCCGCCAACTGGGGAGTGAGCCAGTGGATGGAAGACCTCGCCCGCTCTCTCTCTGCCTTTCCTTCTTTCTCTGTGTAGCTCTTTCAAATAAATAAATAAATCTTTAAAAATGTTTTAAAATAATGGGTTTTTGTTTTGTTTAAATGAAAAAATTAAAGTATTTGAAAGGCAGAATGACAAAAGAAAAGAGGGAGGGAGGGAAGGAGGGAGGGAGAGAGAGAGAGAGAGATGTACCCGCTGGTTCACTCTCCGAATGGCCCGCAACAGTCAAGGCTGGCTCAGACTTTAGCCAGGAGCCAGGAACTCCACCTGGGTCCCCACGTGGGTGGCAGGGATCCCCAAGTACTTGGGCCATCATCCACTCCTCCCCCCCACCCCGCCCGGTACATTAGCAGGAAATTGGTTCAGAAACAGAGTCGCCAGGACTCAAACCAGCACTCCAGTGTGCCACGTGGGCATCACAAACTGCGTCTTAACCAAATACACCAGTCTCACGCCCGTTTTAAATGAAGTTTGCTGTGTGTATTTGGGGCACGCAGCACGAAGCTGTGAGAGTCACACGAGGAGTAAACTGGTGACTCTGGTGAAGCACGTGAACGTGTAGACTCGCGGTCACTTTCCCTGAACCCGATGACTGAGCACAGACAACTCTGACAGCTGCGGTCCCCCCCGGCCCAGGCTCTCTCTGGACGGTTCATCTTACTCAGCGTCGGCTCCCTATCCCCCACCCCTCCCCCATGGTGCACTATCAGCCCGCCCAAATCAGATTAAGGGATTTCAAGAGGACGCCTCAGGGTCCCTTCAGTAGATGTGGAAAACACGTGCGATGGAAGCCAGTGCTCCCACAAACCAGGAACAGAAGGAAGCTTCCCCAAGCAGGGACCCAGCCTCTGCCCGCAATGCCCTTCACACGGCCACGGGCGGCTACACAGCCAGGAGCCGGCGCTGCCCTGACAAGCACCCCAGGGCAGACCCGGGCTGGTGAGCTGCTCCAGCTGAAGAGCCACTCCCCTCCCCTCCGTCCCAGATGAAGTAACCTTTGTCCTACTTAGTGAGTTAGTTCTTAGAAGTAACCTTTGCCCCACTTAGAGTGCTGGTTCCTAGACAGAGCCCTAGGCACCAGCTGTGGTTCGCAGCAGGAACCCCGCCTCGGGGCTTTGAGATAACTCCTAGTTGCAGAGCACCTTCCGGCCAGCAGCAGATGTCCCACCCTAAAGTCTTACAGGACTCCTGCGATAGCCAGAAAAATTTTCCCGCCACTAACCCCCTCATTTAAATCCTCCAATCAGTGTGTGAATCGTGTATCATTTAAACCCTCCAATTAGCGTGTAAATTGTGTGTATTAAGTAAATTGTGTGGTTTTTCCCTTTAAAAATGCTCGTTAACAACTGTTTGGGGCTTCTTCTTTGGATGGCTTTGTGCTGTCGAGAGGCCCGTCTGCGCAGACGCTGAATAAATCCTCTTGCGTGTTGCATCTACTGGTTTGGAATCTGAGTCTTTGGGGTGCGCATCTCGACGTGTCGGGGTCCTAGTTCAGGAACCCAACACAGGCAGGGTGCCCTGACCGCTGTCTCCCACATGAGCGATCTCTTCCCAGGTCCTCCTGGAGAGCACCAAAGCTGCCCTGGTCTGTCCCTCTCCCTTCATTCTCTGCCCACTAAGCCTGAGTGGACGCCAGCAGGAGCGGCCGTCATGATACCCAGCCCTGCCCACCTGCCTCACAGGTGACATGTGTGAGGCCAGAGTGACATGCTCGGGCCTGCTAAGGGCACAGCTGGCAGTGGAACCAACGTCCCGACACCCAGCCTCTGCTCTCCACGCTTCCTTCTCGTACAAGAATCCTGAGACTTGGGTAGGGAGGTGCACCGAGAGAGAACAAACACGACGCCTGTGGAGCCACCTCAGGAAGAACAGGAATGCAGAGAAACAGCTAAAACACTGGAAAACCAGAACTCCTTGGAAACACCAGGAGTTTTCACTAGGGCTTTTACCAAACCTTCAGAGGAAAAAAGCACCTTTAATAAAGTTTACCCAAGTAATGAGACCAAAGCGAAATGCCAATGGATGAAAAAGAAAACACTGCACATGAAATACTTGAATCCTTCTCAATCCTTATTATTTTCTCTAATCTGTTATTTTCTTCTGCGAGCTTTGGGCTTAGTTTTTTGTCTTTTCTTTTTTGTTTGTTTAGGTCCTTGCGGCATGGAATTAGGCTGTTTATTTGCAGCCTTTCTCTTTATCGCAGGCACTGACTGCTATGAACTTCCCTGTTGGAACTGCTGTGGGGAGCAACCCGGACTGGACTGAGTTACTGGAATTAAGACTTATTCTATGCATCTGCTCTCCCACAATATGGCGTTGGGAGAGGAGAAAACAGCTTCTACGCAGCTGCCTCTTGCCAACTTGAGTGATGACCTCCAGGAGCTGATCCTGCTCCTGATTGGAGGAGAGCAGCGTACTCGGCGTGTGGGCAGCTGAGTTGGGATTGGCGGAGGAGGACTATAAAGGAGGAGAGAGACAACATGCACCAGGAACATCTAAGGGGAACACCTGTGCAGCCCCCGAGAGAGCCGGCCGGCGGTGTGCCGCTCCCCCGCGGAAGTGGGGAAAGTGGCAGGGGGAACCGCCCTTCCACGGAGGTGGAAGGGTCAGTAGCCAACCCGGGAAGAACCAGCAGCAAACCCGGGGAGGGCCGAGCAGATGAAAGAACAGCACAGGGTCCTGTGTCGTTCCTCCACGAAGACGGGGAGCGACAACTGCTTTTGCTGCATCCCAGGTTTTGTTATGCTTGCTCCCGTCTTGGACCTACCGTTTATTCAGGGTGTGTAGTTTAATTTTCATGTGTTTGTGAATTTTCCAAAAATGCACCTGTCATTGATTTCTAGTTTATTACTGGTGTGATTAGAACAGATACCTGAGACAATTTTCATCTTCTCAAATGTGTTAAGGCTTGCTTTGTGGCCTGGCGTATGGCCCATCGTGGGTCACGGTCCGTGTCCACTGCTGTTGGACGCAATGTCTTCTAAGTACCTGTCTGTGAGGTCCTTTTGGTCTCTGGTCTCACTCAAGCCTTTGTCTCCCTACTGACTTTGTCTGAGCGGTGTACCCGTTGTTGAAGGTGGGGCATGGGCTGCCCGCTGATACTGCACTGCCGTCCACCTCTCCCTTCGTTCTGTAGGCTGTGGCTGTGTCTGTGGAGGTGTGTGGACACCTACAACTGTCAGGTGCTCCTGACGAGCTCACCCTTTATCATCACACAGTGACCTGGCAACTTGTGACAGATTCTGATGAAAAAGACTATTTTGTCTAATGTAAGTAGAGCCATTCTTGCTTTCGCATGGAATATCACTGCTTTTTAAGATTTATTTTATTTATTTGAAAGGCACAGTAAAACAGAGAGAGGCAGAGACAGGAGAGAAAGAGATCTTCCCTCTACTGGTTCACTCCTCAAAATGACCACACCGGTCAGGGCTGGGCCAGGCTAAAGGTAGGAGCCCGGAACTCCATCCCACATGGTGGGCAGGGCCCAAGCACTTGAACTATTCTTCCACTGCTCTCCCAGGCTCATGAGCAAGGAGCTGGGCCAGAAAGAACAGCGGGGACTCGAACCAGCGCTCTGACGGGATGCTGCTGCTGCTGCAGGTGGCGGCTCAACCGCTGTCCTACCTGCGCCGCGTGGGTGGGGCGTCCTCCCACACCTTCAGTTTCAGGCCGCTGGTGTCTCTAAGGGAGGATCAGGTCTCTTCCAGGCAGCATACTGCTGGATCTTCTGCATCCTTTCATTCAGCTATGCTGTCCTGTTTACAGGATTCATTTACATTTAAAATGGAGAGATTTTCAACATTCAGGCCCCATTTATTACCATTCCCATTTGTTAATCAATTGCTGTCTCACAACAAGCCCAGACGTGGCCCACACACCCAAGAGTTCATGCAGAGAAGAAAGAGGGAGGGAGTCCTGCAGCAGCAGCACCCAGCCTGGAGGGAGCTGCTCAGGGAACAAGCTGGCCACAGAGAGCCAGCACAGGGTCCCACTCACGCGTGGAATCCAAACGCTCACAAAGCAGCGGCAGAACAGGGTCGCCAAGAATTCTGGGGTGGGGGGAGGGGAGATGTGGATCCAAAGACACAAACCTTCAGTTACAAAGCCACAGGCTCCAAGGACCTGTGCCCGCCAAGCCTGGCGAGGCACCTGCCAGGGGGCTTGACGGTGATTGTTACACAGGCGAATGGCCACCGGGTGCGCTTTGAACAGATACCATCCTTATTTGTCAAGGGCATGCTTAGCGACAGAGAAACTAGAACAGGCGGGGCAGCAGAGGGCTGCAGGGGTGGATTTGGTGACCCAGTCAAGCCCCGTCGGAGGTTTCCAAAAGACAGACAGTGCGTGCGCTTGCTTTCCGACAAAACGAGACTCGAGTTCTGGGTCAGGCCATTGTGCAGCTGAAACACTGGCAGGTGGCCAGCCTGAGAAGTCAAAGAACTTTCTCAGCTCTCTGGACGTCTCACAAAAGGAATCTTTGTTAACGACCTTGATAGAAGATAAAGGTCATTGCTAATCCCAGCTGCGCGCTCAGGGAGAGCTGGGAAACAGGAGTTGGAACACAAATCGTGCTTACTGCCTTAAGCCAAAACTCTGCTGGAAAAGCAACACAGAACCTGGCACCAGCAAGCTGATGTTCTGAAAACCAGCCTCTCTCCAGCGAGAGGAGGGCGAGCCGGCAGAGGAAGATCAGGAATGCCGGCTCAGAGCAGGTGAAATGCTACGAGTGGGCACCCCGGGAGTGGAGGGTGAGTTACAGAGCACAGACCTCCCCCGGATTTCCCCTCTTGGTAGGGAACCCCGTGACTGGCTGGTGCGTGGTGCAGCAGGGTGAGTCACCGCCCTCAATGCAGGCACCCCACACAGACGCTCTGCTTGAGTCCTGGCTGCTCTGCCTCCGACCCAGCTCCCTGCTAAGGCACCTGGGAAAGCCACGGAAGATGGCCCAAGTCACTGGGCCCTGTCACTCACGTGGGAGGCCTGGATGGAGTTCTGGGTCCTAGCTTCGGCCTGGCCCAGCCCTGGCCATGGCAGCTATCTGGGGAGTGGGTCGGAGTGGACTGGAGATTCTCTCTCTTCTCTGTGTAACTCCTATAAAATATTTATTAAAAAAAAAAGACATAGAGCTTCCAGTAAACCCTGGAAGACCGTCTTGACAACCTTTCAGAGGGCTTTGCTAGTGTGACACTCGCACGGGACCCACACCGGAGCCTCTGAAAAGCGCCAGCCTCCACGGTCACTGAGTGTCCACCTGGGACAGAAGCGCTAACTCGAACCTGTGTTCCAGGAGGGTCCTCCGGCAGGTCAGGGGGCGGGGGGTCATTGCACTTGTCTGTTTCTCACTGGGGCCGTCTTGGGAACGCTGCTCCATGGGGCAGGCTGCGCTGAGTGGCCATGGGGGCCCATGTCGGGGATGCGGGACAGGTGCCAAGCATTTCAGGAGAGCGGGCAGCCTGCGTGAAGCCTGACAGCTGACAGGGGCTCTGGCGTTCTCCAGTGCGTGAGGGAATAAAACTGCTGACGGCTACAAGATAAGGCAGAGGAGCGAATGTGGACAGAAGTTGCGAAGGTAAACCCCAGGGGCCACGCTGTGGTGTACCGGGTACAGCCGCTGCCTGCAGTGCTGGCATCCCATACGGGTGACGGTTCGAGTCCCGGCTGCTCCACTTCTGATCCAGCTCTCTGCTGTGGCCTGGGAAAGCAGTAGAATCCGAAGCCAGGAGCCAGGTGCCTCTCCTGGTCTCCCATGGGGTGCAGGGCCCAAGCACTTGGGCCATCCTCCACTGCCCTCCCTGGCCACAGCAGAGAGCTGGCCTGGAAGAGGGGCAATCGGGACAGAATCCGGCGCCCCGACCGGGACTAGAACCCGGTGTGCTGGCGCCACAGGTGGAGGATTAGCCTAGTGAGCCGCGGCACCGGCTGTAACTTTGACTTTCAAATAAATAAATCTTAAAAAAAAAAAAAAAAAGGTAAGCCCAGACAGCCCGCGTGTGAGGTCAGCAAGCTGGACGTTTGGGTTAAGAACGTGCCGCTGTCCGTGACGGAGTCCTCACCACGTCTCAGACGGCAGGTGACCCATAATCCTTTACCGGATCTCCCCAGCCGCCACTCCGGGGTGTCCAGGAGCCACGGAGTCCTGTTGTTCCAGGAGTCGGAGAGTGCCCAGGGACCGAGAGCGGGACACAGCAAGGCTGGCACAGGATCCCGCTGAGCGCCGGGGCTGAACCCCGTCTTCCACTCTGCTGCATTTCCAAGCGCCCCAAGCAGCTGCGATGGGGTCAGAGGGACCGGTGCGCTGGCCTCCAGCGCACGGGCGAGGACGAGACAGCGGTAGGGGAGAGGCCGGACGCGTTGATTAGATCCCAGGAGGGAGGTGGCCGCACGCTGGGCCGCGGACCGAGCCGCGAGGGCAGTCAGCGGCGGCAACCAAGCGCGGGGCGAGCCTGAGTCGCCCCTCCAGGCCCCAGCGCTCTGGGCAGGCAGCCCCAGGACCCGAGACGGCCTCTCCCCGTCAGCAAGACTGCTCCCTCCCGGTCAGCGCTGCCCGACCCCAAAAATTTTCTTGGGGGGTTTTCAGGGAGGGCCTTGGCGTGGGCCCACCCCGGTTTAATTTTTTCCCCCCGATAAAAACCCACCCGCCTTTCCCTGGTTTCCAAGCCCCCCTCAACCCGACAACGGACAATGCAATCCGGCGTGAGCTTTGCGTGCTGCCCACGAGGCGCGGCGTGCGGCTAACACCGCCCAGACCGCTTGCCGGGGGCCGGCGGCGGGCACGGGCCGCGCCCCATCAGGGGGCCTGGTCCAGCCCCGGCGACTCTGCCTTAAATCCCGCTTCCCGGGGACGCTCGACACCGCTTTTAAAGGAGATTATTTCTTTGAAAGGCAGAGTTACAGGGGGAGACAGAGAGAGGAGAGAGAGGGGGAGAGAGAGAGAGAGAGATTCCATTCACTGGCTCACTCCCCAAATGGCCGTAACACCCAAGCCTGGGCGAAGCCAGGCGCCAGGAGCTTCTTCCCGGTCTCTCCCGTGGGCGCAGGGGCCCAGGCACATGGGCCATCTTCTACTGCCTTCCTGAGCACACGAGCAGGGAGCCGGATGGGAAGTGGAGCAGCTGGGACTTGAACTGGCGCCCATATGGGATGCCAGTGTTACAAGGCAGAGGCTTTACCTGCTATGCCACAGAGCCAGCCCCCTCCTCACTGGCTTTTAAATACATTAAAAAAAAAAAAAACTTAGACAAAACTTGGGAAAACCCTACTCCAACGGGGCGTGGATGGGCTCAGAGGTGTTCTGCAAATCCAGAAGGCACACACGTGTGCAAGGCTGTGTGCGGGACTCCTGGGCAAGCTGCAAAGCCCCTGGCCTCTACGGGCGGGCGGAGGCTGAGCCGGGGCGCGGTCTGCCTGCATTGTAGGCGCCGACACGCAGAGCCTGGGACACTGGCGGAATTCGTGGGCCCGTCCACGTCGGGCGCTCCCTGGCCAGTCCGCGGTAACCGAAGCAGCCAGCGGTTGCACGTGAGAGTGAAGGCTCTACCCGCCGAGAGGACGGCAGATCCCTAACAGCAGCACAAGCGGCCGCGGCCGGCTTGCCACGTCCGACCCTCTGGGCCGCGAAAGTCCTCGGGAAACCGCGGCTCCGCACCGAGCGAACGCGGGCTGCTCGTCCCTGTCCTGAGCCTGCAACCCAGCGACGCTCTGGGCGGTCCCGGTGCTGCCTCGGGCGCCGTGCGCGACCCGCAGGCACGCGGAGGGCGCGCGTGCAGAGACGGCGCCCAGGGTCGGCTGCAGGTGACCCGCCGTCCACCCTCCCACGGTCTGCGGCCGGCTCTGCGCGTGCGCGGCGGCCACGTCCAGCCAGCCGAAGCGGCGTCCCACAGCGCCGCCTGCTGGTCGGAGGGAAGGCGACACCGAGGGCCCCGGCTCCCGGAAGTGCTCTCGAGGCTGCGCGGCGCGTCTCTGAGCACTGGCTCCGCGTCTAAGCCGGCTCCTTCAACGTGACGTTACACCCGAAAGCCTCAGACTAAACACGACGCTTAACAAAGCACCCGCTTCCCGGGCCCGCCGCGCGTCCAGGCGGTTATCGCGCGCGCACGCCCCGTCAGAGCGACCGAGCAACGGCTGAGCGCGCGGCCCCGCCCCCGCGCGATGCCCGGATGCAGTTCCCGGCCCCTGGCCGCGCTGGCGCCGCCCCCGCGCGGTGCCCGGATGCCGCTCCCGGCCCCTGGCCGCGCTGGCGCCGCCCCCGCGCGGTGCCCGGATGCAGTTCCCGGCCCCTGGCCGCGCTGGCGCCGCCCCCGCGCGGTGCCCGGATGCAGTTCCCGGCCCCTGGCCGCGCTGGCGCCGCCCCCGCGCGGTGCCCGGATGCCGCTCCCGGGCCCTGGCGGTGCGGGTGCCCGGATGCCGCTCCCGGCCCCGTCCGCTCTGGGCAGCGCGGGGGTGGACGTTGCGGGCGGAGCCGGCCGGTGGGCGCTGTGTCCTCTGTGTCTCCTGGATACATTTTTGCAGAATGTACAGCTCACAGCCTGTGTATAGGGCCCTTGATGATTTATAAAGACCCTAATAAAACTTCGCATACTCGTCTCCGACCAGTTGTCCTTCGGTTCGGGGAAAAAAAACTTATTAAAGAATTGCACGAAGTAAAATGGTTTATTCCACCAAAAGGGTTGCAGGTTAACACTGCCTGCCGCCGCGGGCTCCCCGCACCCGCGCTCCTCGGCCGCCCGGGCCGCTGCGGGCCGGGGAGGGACAGCTGCGGGACCCCGCGCACACGGACCCCGGGGCGGGACAGCTGCGGGACCCCGGGGCGCGGGGGCGGGGAGGGACAGCTGCGGGACCCCGGGGCGCGGGGGCGGGGAGGGACAGCTGCGGGACCCCGGGGCGCGGGGGCCGGGGAGGGACAGCTGCGGGATCCCGGGGCGCGGGGGCCGGGGCGGGACAGCTGCGGGGCCGGGGAGGGGGACAGCTGCGGGACCCCGGGGCGCGGGGGGCGGGGGCCGAGGCGGGACAGCTGCGGGACACCGGGGCGCGGGGGCCGGGGAGGGACAGCTGCGGGACCCCGGGGCGCGGGGGCCGGGGAGGGACAGCTGCGGGACCCCGGGGCGCGGGGGCCGAGGCGGGACAGCTGCGGGACCCCGGGGCGCGGGGGCCGGGGAGGGACAGCTGCGGGACCCCGGGGCGCGGGGGCCGGGGAGGGACAGCTGCGGGACCCCGGGGCGCGGGGGCCGGGGCGGGACAGCTGCGGGACCCCGGGGCGCGGGGGCCGGGGAGGAGACAGCTGCGGGACCCCGGGGCGCGGGGGCCGGGGAGGGACAGCTGCGGGACCCCGGGGCGCGGGGCCGGGGAGGGGGACAGCTGCGGGACCCCGGGGCGCGGGGGCCCGGGAGGGACAGCTGCGGGACCCCGGGGCGCGGGGCCGGGGAGGGGGACAGCTGCGGGACCCCGGGGCGCGGGGGCCCGGGAGGGACAGCTGCGGGACCCCGGGGCGCGGGGCCGGGGAGGGGGACAGCTGCGGGACCCCGGGGCGCGGGGGCCCGGGAGGGACAGCTGCGGGACCCCGGGGCGCGGGGGCCGGGGAGGGACAGCTGCGGGACCCCGGGGCGCGGGGGGCCGGGGAGGGACAGCAGCGGGACCCAGGCGCGGGGGCCCGGGAGGGACAGCAGCGGGACCCCGGGGCGCGGGGGCCGGGGAGGGACAGCTGCGGGACCCCGGGGCGCTGGGCCGGGGAGGAGACAGCTGCGGGACCCCGGGGCGCGGGGGCCGGGGCGCGGGACCCCGGGGAGGGACAGCTGCGGGACCCCGGGGCGCGGGGGCGGGGGAGGAGACAGCTGCGGGACCCCGGGGCGCGAGGGCCTGCCTGGGAGGGACAGCTGCGGGACCCCGGGGCGCGGGGGCCGGGGAGGGACAGCTGCGGGACCCCGGGGCGCGGGGGCCGGGGCGCGGGCCTCGGACCCGCCTCCCCGCCGGCCGCGGCTGCCGCTCTGCCCGCGGGCTCGGCCGAGGCCGGCGTGGCTAAGAGGCGCCCGGGCACACGCCGGTGGGTGTGCGGTGAACCTCCGCGTCCGAGGGGCGAGAGGTCTGACTCCGTGAGGCACACTGGCTCCCGGGGCGCTTGCTTCGCACGTGCCTCTGCGGTGTTATCTTGTTTCACAGCTGGGAGAATCTTCCATCTATGGTGCACCCCAGGGCGGGGCCAGGCGCTCCCTCCGCTTTCCCAGGCGGTGACACCTGCTGCCCCCGCGCGCGCTAGCGCAGGAAACCGCACCGTGATACGGAATCTGGGCATCCCAAAGGGCGATGTAACTGCTGCACCAAACTAGTTCTTTATATATATATTTATTCATTTATGTGAAAGAGTTACACAGAGAGAGAAGGAGAGACACAGAGAGAGGTCTTCCATCAGCTGGTTCCCTCCCCAGTTGCCCCAACAGCCAGAGCTGGGCTGATCCGAAGACTGAAGCCAGGAGCTTCTTCTGGGTCTCCCACGTGGGTGCAGGGGCCCAAGGGCTTGGGCCATCTTCTACTGCTTTCCCAGGCCACAGCAGAGAGCTGGATGGGAAGTGGAGCAGCTGGGACTCAAACCGGCACCCATATCGGCACTGCAAGTGGCAGCTTTACTCGCTAAACCACAGCACCACCCGGCCCCCCCCCTTTTTTTTTTCTTTTTTATCTTTTAAAAAGATTTACTTATGGGAGAGGGAAAGAGGAAGGGAATACCATTATATTCTTTTAAAAATATTTTAATTAATTAATTTATTTGAAAGGCAGAGTTATAGAGGCAGAGAGAGAGAGGTCTTCTACCCGCTGGTTCACTCCTCAAATGGCCACAACAGTCAGGGCTGGGCCAGATGGAAGCCAGGAGCCAGGAGCTTCTTGAGGGTCTCCACGTGGGTGCAGGGGCCCAAGGACTTGAGCCATCCTCTGCTGCTTTCCCAGGCGCATTAGCAGGGAGCAGACATGTTCACCGAAACTTGTCTCTGTGTTCCTCGTGGAAGAACGCCATCCCCCCACCATCCCAGCAGTGCACGGTTGGGCCCGCATGTTAAAAACTTAAAAAACTAAAATAAACGATAAAACAAGAAAAAAATTATTCGAAAAAGAGAATCTTCCATCTGTGGGTTTACTCTGCAATTGGCTGCAACAGCTGGGACTGGGCCAGCCTGAAGCCAGGAGTCTAGAACCCCATATCCGGGTCTCCCACGTGGGTGGCAGGGCCCCAGGCACTTGGGCCACCTTCCTCTGCTTCCCCAGGCACATCAGTGGGGAGCAGGGTACTGGGAGCCAGACCAGCGCTCTGATGGGTGCTGGCCTTGCAGGCAGCGACTCAACGTGCGGTGCCACAGCAGCCGCCCCACACGTGCAGCTTTTTGATGATGTTGGATGCAAATCTAATATAATCCTTCATGTGAAACGATTTTTTGAGATGTATTTATTTTAAAGGCAGTGTTACAGAAAGAGAAAGAGAGAGGGAGGGAGGGAGGGAGAGAGAGAGAGAGAGAGAGAGAGAGAGAGAGAGAGAGAGAGAGATCTTCCATTCACTGGTTCAGTCCTCAGATGGACACAACAGCCAGGGCTGGGCCAGTGTCGTTCCCCCATTCGCGGAGGAATGACACAGGACCCTGCGCTGTTCTTTCGTCTGCTCGGCCCTTCCCGTGTTGGCTGCTGACCCCTCCACCTCCGTGGAAGGGTGGTTCCCCCTGCCACTTTCGCCACTTCCGCGGGGGAGCGGCACACCGCCGGCCAGCTCTCTTGGGGGCTGCTCAGGTGTTCCTTCAGATAGATGTTCCTGGTGCATGTTGTCTCTCCTCCTTTATAGTCCTCTTCCACCAATCCCAACTCTGCTACCCACACGCTGAGCACGCTGCTCTCCTCCAATCAGGAGCAGGATCAGCTCCTGCAGGTCATCACTCAAGTTGGCGAGAGGCAGCTGCGTAGAAGTTTACTCCTCCCCAGCGCCATATTGTGGGAGAGCAGATGCATAGAATTAGTCTTGATTCCAGTAACTTAGTCTAGTCTCAGTTGCTCCCCACAGGCCAGATGGGAGCCAGGAGCCAGGAGCTTCTTGAGGGTCTCCCACGTGGGTGCAGGGGCTCCAAGCTCTTGGGCCAGCTTCCACCACTTTCCCAGGCCCATTATCAGGGAGCTGGATTGGAAGTGGAGCAGCTAGGACTTGAACTGGGGCCTGTATGGGACCCTGGCTCTTCAGGTGGCAGTTTAACCAGCTGTACCACAGTGCAGGCCCCGGAACTTTATAGAAATTTATTTACTTGAAAAGCAGAGAGACAGAAACAGATAGAGATCTTGCGTTTGCTGGTTCACTCCCCAAATGCCCACCACAGCCAGGGCTGGACTAGGCCTTCGTCCGGATCTCCATGTGGGTGGCAGGAAGCCTAGTACTGGAGCCATCACCTCCTGCCTCCCAGTGTGTGCATTAGCAGGGAGCTGGAATACGGCACAGAACCAGTCGCTGACTCCTGCCTGGATTCAACAGGGGCGGTGAACATCCCAATTAGCTTCTCAGCACTGTGCCTGGAGTACCTGCGACCCACATCAGAGAGCCAGTGGGCTGCGGTGTGGGGCAGGATGGGTGTGAGCTAAGGCAGGCCCCTTGCACGCTCAGGATGAGATGCCCCCAAGCCTAGACGAGCAAGGAAGGCAGGGAGAGTGGTGGAGCCCTTTCTTTCAACAGCTCGCGGTTGATTCTGATGCCCGAGTCAGTGGGCAGGACTTAAAGAGGCTTCCATTGTGACAAAAGGTGACGGAAGCTGGGGCCAGGCCACAATGGTGCCATGACAGAATAAAGACTCGGTTGCTAGGGTCAGGGAATAAAGAGGGGCAGGCTGGTGGAGGGGAGGTGGGGCCCTAGCGCTCAGCCCCCAGCTCCCCGACCCTCCCCGTCCCCTTAACCATCTGCGATGTCACCTTCCACCTGGACACCACCCCTCCAGGTCCAGGCTTGACTCTGGTCTCCACGCACTGCACAGGGGCCGCCACCCTCCCCTTCCTGGGATCTCCAAGGATTCTGCTCTCCCCCAGCGCCCATGGCCAGCACGGATGGCGCCGCTCAGAAGCCCACCCCCTCCCCACCCCTGAAACCCACCCCTCGTCCTCACCCGGAGTCTTCAGACTCCAACGTCACCGTGGCCTTGATCGAAATCGGCTCCCTGCCCGCCTTCAGCTGGGGGCCGAAGGTCACAGATGAGCAGGACACGCCGAGGTTTGAAAGGCTCCTGAAGGAAATTAAAGACGTCCTCAAAGGGGTGGTGAGCTGTGAAGACAAGATCACCGAAGCCGAGGAAAGCAGGATTTCCAAGGATGTGTCAGAACTTAAAGAAAAAATCCGAGGACTTGACAAGATGAATAAAATACTGCTGAGAAGTCTGCTTGTCACCCTGAACCCAGAGAAGGGGCAGAAGGCAGTGAGAGCAGGGCTGGCGCTGGAAGCCCAGAGCTCGGACGGCCCTGCACGGCCCGGGCGAGACGCGGCAGCCCGCCCGGAGGAGCAGAGGGCCCCGGGCAAGACGGCAGAGCCTGCGCCCCAGGCTCCGGGGGAAGCTGCCAGGCTCCGGCGCGGCTTGGAGCAGCTTCTCCAGGAGGCCGAGCACTGGAGCCGGCAGCAGACGGAGCTCAGCGAGCTGATCAGATCCTGCCAAGTAGCTCAGAAGGACCCGAGGGACACTCTGGACAACAGTGGCGGCGATGTCCAACGCCAGGCAAGTGGGGCCGTGGCAGCCAAGCGCGAGCTGGAGGAACAAGCCAGGAAGCTCGGCCGCGACACCTACGCCTTGCACGTGGTCGCAGCTCTGCTGGAAAACGAATGCCAAATCCTACAGCAGAGAGTGGAGATTCTGCGGGAGTTCCACCACCGCCAGCAGGGGACCCTGCCGGAGAGGCCCGTTCCCATCATCCCCCAGCACCGGCAGAAGAATCAGAAGGCGTGGGAGGCAGAGAAAGCTGTGCCCTCTGAGCAGGGGACGTTTCAGAAGAAAGCCAGAGCCTACAGAAGCCTGGACGTGTGTCTCAGTAAGAAAGCACGGAACAACCGCTTCAACAGGCGTATTGCAAGGGCTCTTACGGGAAAAAAGAGGCCAATCAGTAGCCCAAGGTAGAAAATAGGAAGACACAAGAAAAGGTGACTCCTTGAAAATCCACATCCGCTATGTCCAGCTTCAGGCATAATCAGTCATCCACCTAGGACAGATGGCTCGACCGAGAGGCTTGTAGAACAAGACACACACGTGTCTGATCCAGGACCCCAGTACCAACGCAACGGAATGGGACCACTGTGTCAACACCAAGTTCATGACTTTTCGCCTGGACCGTCTGCTTGGGTTTTATGGTTATAAGATCGAGATCCTATAACTCTTTACCCGAAAGTGAAAAGTTAAAGGCCCAATTAAGTGAAGCTGTAAATAAAACCAGACTGCAAAAGACAGCGATTTTTTTCTTTAATCATTTTCTGGGGGGAGGGAAGTTTGGGCGGCAGGGGGTGGGGGGAGGGTGTATTTAATGCTGTAATTGTGATTTTTATTTTATTTCAAAGTCAGAATTACAGAGAGAAAGGGAGAGACAAAATGGTTCTTTTACCCATTGGTACACCCCCTAGATGTTTGCAACGCACAGGGCTGGGCTAGGCCAAACCCAGGAGCCAGGAGCTTTATCCGGGTCTCCCAAATGGGTGGCAGGGGTCCCAACACTTGGGCCATCGTCAGCTGCTTTTCCCAGGCCATTAACAGGGAGCGAGATCAGAAGTGGGGAAGCCAGGACTCAAACTGGCACCCATATGGGATGCCAGCATCACAGGCGGCAGCTTTACCGGCTACACCACAATGCCAGCTCGAATCGTGATGCTTTAAAACTACCTTTCTCAATATATGTTTCCTTTTCCTAGTACTCACTGAAGTGGGCAAGGCAATGCAGTAAGATACCGGCAAGCCACCCCAACAATCACTCTTCTCTGCGCATAAATATCCCCATCTGCTGGTTCCACTCTTCCTACTGTTCCTTCCTTGCTGCTCAACTGAATTGTGGGTAGGCTGGACAGCAGAGGCCTTTGGGGAAGGAGCCCTCAGCCTGTTAGAAGGGACGATGTCTCCCACCCTCCAGATCGGGTCAGCAGAGCTCCCCGGGGATTAAGGCAATAGCTTCCATTAAGGAAACTAGATGTGTGCTTCCAAAAGAGACAGAGCAGGTGCACTTGACCTTATTCCTCTTACTAACTAACACAGACAAACCTAAGAAAACTCTGGAATACGGCGCGGAGGAGGTGGGCTGGTCAGGGACCCTGGGACTTGAGGATAGCCTGGTGCTGAGTTTCCTTGACTTCCTTTCTGCTGCTTCTATGTCCTGAGAGAAGTGACAAAAATGGCCCCCCAGTGAGCCTGCTCTCTCTCGTCAAAAGAGGAGTGGTACAATCTAACAAGATAGAAAGGGTCTGGCAAAAACTGCCCTTGTCCAGTCAGATGGCACATGGATGACCACATGCCCACCACCGTCTCCCATGCAGCAGGCACTGGGCACAGAGCCTCTACTCCTCCCCTCTTCCTCCAGGACGGTGCACAGGAGGCGGCCAGGGAAGGCCCAGGGTTCGTCCTCCATCTGCTGGGAACAAGGTCAGGTCCTCTTACGCTGGAGAGGTCCTGTGGGGAGTCCAGACTTCTACCCCAGCCCCCTGCTGGCACAGCACCAGCAGCAGAAGCCTGCAAAAATAGAGACGTAATAAGATCTAGGTTCTCAGAACACACTGCTCAAGATGTTCAGCAGACACGAGAAAAACCACATCACACCAAGAACAAGGACAATCACAGCTCGGCAGAGAGCAGACAGTCACGGAGGACAAAACTGAGAGCGAGCACGCAGACACTGGAAATGACGACTTCTAAAGCAGTCCTCATGAAAATGCGCCATTGAGCAACTACAGTCACACTTGAAACAAATGAGAAAGAAAGAGAAGCAGAGGCAAAGAGATATACAGGAAGCGTGCGTGGCCATTGCAGAACTGAAAACCAGAATCAGTAACGGATTCGTTGGATGTTCAACAGAGGAATGATGATGTCAAAGGAAAGATTCCATGACCTTGAAAGGTAGAGCCACGGAAATCACCCGCTGTGAACAAGAGAATACACTCAGCAGGAGTCTCAAAAAGAGATAGAGTATGAGCTAAAAAAAAAAAAAGTATGAAAAGAAACAATGGCTAAAACTCGTTTTTTTTTTATTTTTGATTTCTTTGACAGGCAGAGTGGACAGTGAGAGAGAGAGACAGAGAGAAAGGTCTTCCTTTGCTGTTGGTTCACCCTCCAATGGCCGCCGCGGCCGGCGCATCGCGCTGATCCGATGGCAGGAGCCAGGTACTTCTCCTGGTCTCCCATGGGGTGCAGGGCCCAAGCACTTGGGCCATCCTCCACTGCACTCCCTGGCCACAGCAGAGAGCTGGCCTGGAAGAGGGGCAACCGGGAAAGAATCCGGCACCCCGACCGGGACTAGAACCCGGTGTGCCGGCGCCGCAAGGCGGAGGATTAGCCTAGTGAGCCGCGGTGCCGGCTTCGCTTTTTAATATAGTAAAAGGTGTAAACCTACAGACTCAAGACACTGAGTGAACGCTGAATAGTGCACACTCAAAGAAATTCAAAACCACATAACTGCATTTCTGAAACCCAAAGACAAAGCAAAAGTCTCGAGAGCCGCTAGGGAGAAAGGACCCACTGGGTCAAGAGCTGTGCTTGTGCACTTCACGTCAGAAGCCATGGAGGCCGGAGGAGGTGGATATTTTTCAAAAACAGAAACAAAATAAATGAAATATCAACCGAATATGTTTTACCCAGTCAAAATATCCTTCAGGAAGGAAAACGCAATCAACAGGGGAAAGCTGAAACAGTCTGTCACCATCTGTTGGAAGAATCGCATAAATCATCCTCATTTTTTCTCATCAAGACATTGACCAATCCCAATAGCCCCAAACTCTGCTCTGCTCCTTTTCCATACAGAAATGTCACATGGGAGGTGCTAAAGAAATGACTGAAATGAGAAACAACGTGACCACGCCAACCACTTCCTCTGCCTAGGTGTTCATCCGCACTACATGGACGAGTGCTGTCCCTGTCGCTTTCCTAGCAAATGTGAAGTGGCTACCTCCGCAGTCCTGGGCTGATGCCTTCACAGATTCACAGGGCACTACAGGAGTGCTGGCGTTGTGGAGGAAGCACAGCACAGACAACGCCACCCTCGAGGTGGTCCGAGGTTGCAACATTACACTGCGTGTAGCAGCACGCTAGAGTGAAGTTTCGCATTGGTGACAACGGTCACACGGCCACCTCCCTCTGAAAGTGACTGGGAAACAGGGTCTTTGGCTGGCCAGCCATATGCTCGGGAGAAGGAACCATTCATTTTGGCACGCTGCGGGGTTTAGAGAAAATAATATGTGTTTCCGCACAGCAAGGGCTTTCTGGGCAATTTTTATGAAAATCTGAGCGATCTTGGACTGAAAGCACGCTCTAGCAGGTGACGTACGGCGGTACGGATGGTGAGAGCGCTAGTGACTGACCTCGTTTCAGAGATGAACACTTGCATCTCAAGGCAGGGTGAAGCTGGCACCCTCAGAGACAGCTCTGGGCTGTGCGGCCGGAGACGCCGGGCTTGTCTGGCCCGGGAGAGGTCTATTGTCATCCCAACAGGTTGGAGTGAGAACTCGGGACGTTTCCATCTTGCCTTCCAGAAGCACAGGGGGCTTCGCCTTCCTCCTGGGAGGAGAGGAGGTCGGCTGTCCCTCTCTTGTGTGCAAACGCGCAGCCTCACCTCCTCAGGAGTGTGCAGTTCAGCACATTACGTGTGGGGCGGCACCTGCTCCTCCTCACATCTCCCCAGGGGCACGACTGCGGCCTGGAGCCGTCATTGTTGTGTCACAGTATCCTGTGTCTGATGCAAAAGCCTCAGCACCAGGTGAAGGTGAGCACCAGGAACCCATCAGGTGGGCACTTGTGCACCCTAAGGTGCCACTCGGGACATCTGCGTCGCACATCAGAGTCCTGGGTTCAGGTCCCAGCCCCACTTCGGATCAGCTTCTTGCTCGTGCACACCCTGGGAGTCAGCAGTTACGGGCCAGTTAATTCAGGCCCTGCCACCCACACAGGAGATCTGGATTGAGTTCCTGGTCCTACGCTCAGTGCAGCCCACTCCAGTCGTTATGGGCATTTCGGGAGTCCCCCAGTGGAGGGGTGCTCTCTCTCTGTATGTGTCTCTCTGTGCCTCTCAAATGAGAAGCACCAACAAGAAAACCTCATGCAGGATGGTCACAATCTCCACAAACAGCATCTACGATGAGCGTGAACATGGGCACAAGACATTTTGCTACGTTGCAAGTACTGGAAGTACATCCTAAAACACGGTTCCCCACTCCAGAAGCCAACATTCTTTCCTGTGTTTGGAATGTGTATCACTTTGTAAATAATCTAGATGCCAAAATCTCCTGTTACAGGCCTTAGTTACAGTGAAAAGAGAGGATCTCCTTATGGCGCAGCTAGTTAAGTCACTGCTTGCATTGCCAACAGCCCATAAATGACAGCAACCCATATTGGAATGCTAGTTTTTATTTAAATTGAAAACATTTTTTTAAAAAGAGAATTACAGAGAGGTAGAAAGAGAGAGAGAGAGAGAGAGAGAGAGAGAGATCTTCCACCTATTGGTTCACTCTTCAAGTGGCCATAACTGCCAGAGCTGAGCCAATCTGAAGCCAGGAGCCAAGAGCTTCTTCTAGGTCTCCCACGTGGGTGCAGGCGCCCAATGACTTGGGCCATCCTCCACTGCTTGTTCTTGGCAATGAATTCTCTTCAGTAGAGAGCGTAAGATCCCAAGGCTGACTTGTTGGGCGCCATTGTGAAGCCATGGCATTTTCATGGGCGAGTGAAGCACGTTCAAGATGACGTGTTACGACTTCAGTAAGAAAAAGTACCTCGTTTGATCATTGCAATAAATGCCCAGAAACCATAAACCACAAGCACAGTCTTTTTTTTTTTTTTTTCCCAATGGTTTCCTCCTCTGTAACTGCTGAGTGGTGTAAACGCACCACAGCGTAACTGCAAGCACACTGAAAGGTCTCTGGATGGTCTCCAGTTTTTAGCTTTTCTTTTTTAGAGATTTAGCTACTATTTACTTAGCTTTTTTATTTTTAAAGATTTTTATTTATTTATTTGACAGGTAGAGTTACAGACAGTGAGAGAGACAGAGAGAAAGGTCTTCCTTCCACTGGTTCACTCCCCTAATGGCCACTACAGCCGGCGTTGCACCGATCCAAGGCCAGGAGCCAGGTGCTTCCTCAAGGTCTCCCATGTGGGTGCAGGGCCCAAGCACTCGGACCATCCTCCACTGCACTCCCGGGCCACAGCAGAGAGCTGGACTGGAAGAGGAGCAACCGGGACTAGAACCGGCGCCTATATGGGATGC